TTTAAAAATGTACTTCACATAGTTGAAATGGTGATATTTTTTAATGCCTGGAAGAGAATGTTGTTTCTAAAGGAATTTTAACTAAGTGTAGCTCTCTGTCCTATCCCAGAATAAGCGTCTCACCACAATGAAGTTCCCCTCCTGAGGCCCACGGAAGCTGTGATCCTGCAGGGCTAGGTTCTGGGGTGAGGAGTTCAGGAATGACCTTACATTGCACCAAATGCTTCACACAGCTTGTTTCGGTTTGGATGTGATTTCCTCTTGCAGGTTCACATGCTGGATCCTTGGTTTCTGGTGTGACAATGTTGAGGGGTGGTGGCAGCTGGCATTCAGCCCCATGGCCAAGATGCCAGCAGTGCACAGTAGCGTACCTGGCTTCTGTTCCCGGCTCCAGCTTCTTGCTAAAACAGGCCCTGGGAGGCAGTGGTGATGGCTCAAGTAACTGGCTTCCTGCTACCCGAGTGGAAAGCCTGGATTGAGTTTCCAGTTCCCAACTTTGGCCCTGCCTAGTTGTAGCCACTGTGGGTTTGGGGATGTGGACCAGTGCATAGGACACACATTCTTTCTCTGCTTTTCAAATGAAAAAACAAACAAACAAAAAAACCAAGAGGTGGCGTGATCTTTAAAGACTGAGGACCAATGGTGGTTGATAGCTAGTTCACTGGGAACACTGCACTCAGATGGGATTAAGGTTTTTATGGTGGATTCAGAGTTCCTTCCTGAAGACCAAGCAGCTACAGCAGAAGCTCTTTTGTCCTCTGGCTTCTGTTTGGCTGTGGACTAGCTCTCTCTTGTCTATTCTCCTGCCTCTGTGATATAGACCTGCCGTGAAGTGATACCACAACTGGGGAGCACTCACTAGAGCCTGTGCTAAACTTTTTGGACCTTCAGTGTCCAGATTTGTGAACTAACTCAACCTCTTTACAAATGATGTAGTCCTCGGGTATTTCGTTATAGTAGCAGAAAGTGTATGACTGCACATAGGCACGTATAAAACTTTCTTAGGGGGATTTCTAGATTTCACCAGTGACTAAAAGAAACACTGTTGTCTCCTGAAGGTGGTGAAATACTGGGTCAGAGCCCACAGGGCCAGGTAGTGCCAAAGAAAGCCGCAGGCCTGGGTACAGGGCTCTCCATTCTCACAAGGCACCTCGGCATCTGTTGGAGATCCTCTCTCTAGCCCAGGTTCTAGTGGGGTGCTGTTCAGAGAGAACACTTCCCTCCGGGAAGAGGAACTCAGCTCCGAATGACCCATGCCTGCCATAGACTTGCATGTTTTCTTCTATAATTGCCTTGCACTGAGCTATCCGAAGCAGGATGCTCTTGAAGTCAACTTTCAAAAGACAGCTGAACAATAATAGAAAGAACACTTCTCCAGGGCTTCCTCAGTTGCCCACCATGAGGTCAGCAGGTGCTGGATCCAATCACCAGGGCCTTCTTCCAGTTTACAGTCCATGCAGTCTCCATGGGTTTGTGCTTTGAGTGTGAAATGTGATCAGCTCTGGGCAAGCCTACCTCTCTGCAGAACTCTTCTACCTCTCCCTGTGACTTCTGCTTTTGAAATCTCAACTCTGCCCTGCCTCCCAGCACAACCAGAGACTCACAGGAACAGCTGCAGCCTCCTTTTCTTTGATCCCTGGCTTGCCAAATCATAATCCTCGCATGTTTTACAACTGTATTAATGTCTGGTCAGCCAGATGTGATGAAGATAATATTGGGTCATCAGCATATTGGCTGCTAGACAGAAAACAGAGGACTCACACGAAGAACAGGCTGAAAAGCAACAGATCTGGCTTGAATGGGACCCCTTCAATTTGCAGCATTATTATCATCACAGGTCAAAACCAGCAAGTGGTAGAAAAGTTCAATACATCTGAGGCAGCGGGTGGGAAGCAGGAGAGCCAAGGCAGAAATACGTGGTATGTATTCTGTATTGGTGAAAATGTGTTTGTCAGTAGATTGGATCATCCCCACAATTTCATAGCTTCGTACTCGGAATTGATTTTAAAAGAACTATCTCAGAGCAAAACAGAGAGGAAAAGAACCGCAAAAGAGAGATTTAAAAATTGCATCTGAGGGTGGGTATTTGGCACAGCAATTAAAACACTGCGTGGGATATGCTGGATTCCAGCCCTGCTCTACTTCCAATTAGTTTCCCGTTAATGCAGGAAGGCAGGTGATGGCTCAAATGATCGAGTCCCTGCCACCTATGTAGGAAATCTAGACAGGTCTGGGCTTCTGGATTTGGCCTGGCCCAGCTCTGGCTCATGCGGACATTTGGAAAGTGAACCAGCAAATGGAGTATCTTTCTGTTCTTGTCTCTCACTTTCATTGTGTTTGAAATTAAACAACAACAAAAACCAGAAAAATTGCACCTGTTGGTCTTCATTATCCGACTTGGAAGCCTCTTAGAATGAAGTGTTTGTGTGTTTTACCCCTCATTATTATGATCTATGACCATAGGCTACCTGTCCACCCTGATTACTCCAGATTCTCAGGGATTTTTACTAGGGGTGATTGGAAGTTATTCACTACATTATCCTTGTGACATATGCTGGACTGGAGAGTCTAGCTTTTTTATCAGAACATCATGGTCTGAGTTTATTATACTCGATGACGTGTACAGTCTTGACCAAATGTGAGATTATAAAACCATTTATTTCCTGTCTCCCTTGCCATGTACCAACAACAGTGATACAGTACTGCCCATTTGAGAAGTCCAATTTGCAGCCCAGCCTGCATTGCGAAAGGGTCACCAAACTGGGCCTGCCCTTGTCCACCAGTGTCCTTACGATCACTGATCATTTGACTATGTCAGCCATATTAGCTGCTTCACATACATTTGCTCATTAGCACATGATCAATTCAGTGCTGTCAGTGGGGACTACTGAGCAACTAAGCCAAACTCTAGTTCTGCAGAAGTAACTTCTCTGATGCTTTTTGTTTTCAAAGCACACTCTTTCCCAGCAAGACAGAAGTGAAGAGAATGTACATTGGGAAGCCAGGAGAGGGCTGCACACAGACTCGCGAGTCTCTGTGTCAGCTGGCTGTTTAATCACATCAACCTGGAAGCCCTCAATCATGGAAATCTAATTAATATCCGACTCCGTATTCTTGTTATCTGTGAAAACATGGGCTGTTAATCATGCTATGGGATATATAAGAAACACAGACGTGGTTTAGATTCTTCACAATTAAACTGTCACATGAATTTATTAGAAACTTGGCCAATTTCAAAGTATCACTGCATTTATTAAATCAGATGTTACGATGCTTACAGTGGAGCATTCTGAAAGCTAGTGGAATGAATTCCAAAGAGGATGTTGGTGTTCGGCCTAGCAGTTAAGATGCTGGTTGGAGTACCTTGATCCCATACCACAGTGTCCAAGGCTATCACATGAATAATTAAATGTAGCTATTGATGTGCATAATAATTTTCTTAAACCACTACACTTCAAGTACAGCTGTCACACAGTTGCTCCAGATGATTGGCTCTAGAACCTCTGAGAATGCTAAAATCCAGGATGCTCAAATCCCTTCTGCAGGATGGTGCAGTGCTTGTCTATAACTGACGCAGATCCTCCTCTATGCTCCGAATCAGCTCTCGATTACTTATGATATCTGCCATCATGTAAATGCTGTGTAAATCGATAGTATGCTGGATTGTTTAGGAATAACAGAGGTCCCTACTTGTTCACTGAAGGCACCATTTCTTTCAAACTGTTTTCTAGACCTATTGATAGGATTCATGATTATGAGACACGGAGATAGGCAGGGTCATCAGAAATCGTGTTACGGGTGGCTGCCATACTGTATAATACAGGCATGGTGCATTTCTACTATCGCACAAAGCTATACCAGGGCAGTATTGCTCTAATGATGAAATTCGGCTCTTTTCTCTTATTTCAAAACTCAGCAATCAAACCTGGCATCCACCCACTATTCCTTCCCTTTTTCTCATGGTTCACTGAGCTCCTCTGATCTCGCTGTCTCCAAGCCTGGCTCTCCCAAGCATGATCTTGGTATCCTTGCTTCCTCTGCTCCTTGAATTTCTGTTGCAACACATCCTTCAGCTTTCCCTAATTCTGTTTCTGAAGTGCAAGTGGATTTTTTTCTACTTCTCAGCACTTTTTCAATTCACCTTACATCATGTCATCCCTTAGGATGCTTCGTGTCCTACAATCTCGGTCCTCTTTCATGGGTCTCCTCCTCCACAGATGACCAGCTTCACAGTCTGTGGGGGAAGCCACTCAAACACAGGAGCTATGACCGTCCTTGACAGTTCCTCTTTCTTTTGGTTTTCTGTAGCAAAGGGACATGCCTACCGCTCTCCACCTGGGAATAGTAATTTCTGCTTCTGGATCTCTGCTCACAACGCTTCCCCGTTTAGAAGTTTTCCTCTCTATCTCACTTCTGCTACAAAGTTCTTTGGGTTCTTTCTACTATAAAACAACCTGCTTTGCCAGTGTTTTCTCTGTAGCTCTCATAGAAGTTGCCTGGCATTGCAGCTATACAGAACATGCACCTTGTGTCTTCTGCACTAAGCACAGCTGTGGTGAGCAGGGGGTGCTGGTTGGGCTCAGAACAGGTGTCTGGATAAGGACTAATCACCCTCCAATCACTCTCCGTCCATTTTATTTTCAGTGTAGTTCTTTTCAGCTTAGAGCTTAACCTTATTTTGGTGTTACTGAAAACATTCTTAAATATGCATAATTGAATGTATTTTACAAACAGACTGATTTCTAAGGTAGACAAACTGGATTCAGCAAAACAAAGAAGCCCTGACAAACACATTTCGCCTAATGATCTCAACATGAAGTTCTCACTACCTGACTGCATCACCAGACCCTCAAATGGGAAAGAAAATGAGGGAGTCCATGTTGACTGCAGCACATTGCAATATCTTCCTAATGGGGAGTGTACAAAATAACAGCGAATGAACCAAAAAACAAAAAGGAAAGGAAAGAGAGATAAAGATATCAAAGCTGAAATGAACTTACCTTGGGTAGCAATATAATGATTGGGTCGATGATAGCCCTAAAAATAAAAGAGAAAGAACATTTGGTAAACTTTAAATCGATACGCAGCGGAGAAATCACGTGCCAGGTTTGCCAAAATGAACACAGACACAAACACTGACAGCTGCATCACTTGAAAGTTAAATTGTGAAATGTAGTGCCATGGAGCGTCTCTTCATCAGGGTGGCTGCATCAGATGTAGCAGTCCTGAGGCGTGCACAGGAGGTGCGAGTGACTCAACCACCCCCGTCTAGGAGCGGATGGATGAGCAATAAACACTAACAACTTATGGATTCTCTGCATGACTGCAGCTCTTATTAGGTGCGAACAGTCTGGGAAAGCACAATAGAATTTCATTTGTGTTTGGGATGTTATTGGCAATGTGCCAGGGGCTTAACACATACTGTGTTCTATCAGTATAGACAGTTATATCAATAATCATACTCAGAACCATTCTTAAACACCACTAATGCTGTGACATGATGCTGTAGCAAGGGACTGGAATTCAGAAAGGCACAGATTCTGTAAGATCACTATCTTTTCTCACAACCCTATAAGAAACAGCAGAGATGAAAATTGGGAGCAAAGAAATTGTAGGATAAGAATCAGGGCAAAATAAAGTCAACTCAGAGAAAATGACACCCTGGTAATACACCCTATCACTGTGGACCTTAAGATTTGCAATTTCTGTCCCTTGAGTTGATCCAAACTATTGTGCCCAAAGTCAGTCAGGAATAAAAAATGTGGAGAGAAAAAATACAGATTTCTTAAACTATGTAAGTACATATCTGTTATACTTTATGCTCCTAAATACAAGTTGACAACAATGAATGACAAAAGCAAACATACTTGTACATGCACCTGATCTGCCAAGGCTCTCTATAGAATCACGACCAGTAACAGAATTCCACATACAACACCTCATATTTCATTAGCCAAGCACTGCATGAAGAAGAACAAAAATTTGTTCTCCATCTATACGCAGTGCCTCTTAAGGGGCCCAGGAGATAGGATGGGTTCCTTTGATGCACTGACCTACACAGTCCATAAATGGACTATGTGGCAAAATGTGATGGTCTTACTGGCCTTAGCAGTACTATGGACACAATGGATCTCCTTAATGAAACAGTTTCCATGCCTGGAGCCAGCATCGGATGCTCTCCCACCTAACTGTCTGACCACTCATCTGTATTTCCTCAGCTGCCTCCTCCCCTTCGCTGGCACTGCAACCTCACTTCTTGGACTTCCTCCAGTCAACACACTCTTACAGATTTCACCAGGAACTTTGATTCTCAAAACTGTGTATTGGTGGGTCCCATATTTTCATTTTCAGTTCACTTTTTTTTTAATTGGAAAGGCTGATATACAAAGAGGAGGAGAGACAGAGAGGAAGATTTTCCATCCGATGATTCACTCCCCAAGCGGCCGTAATGCCTGGAGCTAAGCCAATCCGAAGTCATGAGCCAGGAGCTCTTCTGGGTCTCCCACCCGGGTACTGGGTCCCAAGGCTTTGGGCCATCCTCCACTGCTTTGCCAGGGCACAAGCAGAGAGTTGGATGAGAAGTGGGGCCGCCTGGATTTGAACTGGTGCCCATAAAGGATCCTGCCGAGTGCAAGGCGAGGACTTTAACCACTATGCTATCGTGCCAGGCCCTCAGTTAACATCTTCCCCTAATATCTTGCTGTGTATCTATTGCCAGATCAACATCTATTAGATAGATATATTTACACAGTACAAAACAGGGCACTTTAAAAAGTGCACGGAAAGAAGAAAGTTTATGATTTTTTAGAATCCACATATATTTTCTTCATAATAGATGCTTTCTTTGAATTTTCTGAAGATCCCTCATAGACATGAATTTCAACCTTTTTCTTTAAATTCCATAGTTGATGCAATTTTAGAAGTGTCCTCACATTTAAAGCTTAACACATTTAAAACAGAACTTCCCAATTGTGTCCAAATAATAGCAGCTCCATCACTTTTAAAAATGCATTCATTTACTTTGAAACAGTTACAGTAAGAATGAGAGAGAAAGAAAAGGGAGAGGAGAGAGAATACTCCATCTGTGGGCTCACTCCCCGGACGCCCGCAGGTGGCAGCGCCTCTCCACACCCAGCTCCTGAAGGCAGCCCTCACCTCTCTCTTCCCCCTGCACCATATAGTCAGTGTGTCAGCAAATCCATTCACCTGGCCTTCCCTGTGGCTCCAAGTCCTCCCCATCTCTCACCCTTCGTCGTGAGTCACCCTCCTCTTCCATCCATTTAACATCACTCCACCAACACTTCCTGCCTTCTTTATTTTTTTTTCACGGCCTTGTCTCAGCTGTGTGTATTCTGAAATGCTCTTCCAACAGACCTAGAAATGGCTCCACTTGAACCCTGCATTGCTCCGATATCACCTCCAGGGAACTGACTCTAGCCGCTCGATGACCAAACCTGGCCCTCCTGCCCCTCTACGTCTTCTGTTTTCTCCACAGTACACGCTGCTTTTGGGTATGCCATTTATATGCTGTCCACTTCTCCTGGGAGGAACATCAAGTCCACTACATCAGAGATTTGGTTGTGTTTTTAATCTGAATTGTTAAGCTACAGCTTAGCACATTAAGCACCAACTCTCATATACAATGGATGCTCAATAAGATCTTACTGATCTTAAAAACAGAGAATTTATCGATGTGATATTTTCATTATTTTCTGACTTTGCTTATAATTTCTTTGAGTTGGAATCTTCTCTCCCTTGTTAGCTACCCATCCGGTGTTTAAAGCTTAGATGGAATGACTTCTTCTACTGTGCCTCCTCTGGTCCCACTTACAGCTTCAGTGTAACTAAGTGTTGGATTGGGTTTCTGGGCCCAGCTCCAGGCCTTGCCCAGAGCAGCCATTGTGGGCATTTGTCAGCTAGTGAACTGTCTCCATCTGTTTATCTCTCAAAATGCTTAAAGGTGCAGTGGTCTCATCTGATGGATGAAATATGAACTCTTCTTTCAATAATTATCTGCCAGGCCCAAACCATAAATCAATAACTAAAAAGTCAAACCTTTCTAAGTAAGTACCAAAATAACAATCTCATAGTTGTTTTTAGAGAACTGTTTCTTAGAGATTGTGACACTAGTTATTAGTTGAGATCATCCAGGTTGGCTGAGGTCTTGGTCACACCTTCAGGTGGTGGCACAAGCATTGCCCACAAATTTCCTAACTGCTAAAGAGACCACCAAAGGGGAACATCTTAACATCTTACCTGTAGGTTCTAGTCCAGACAAGGAGGGGTCAGGGAACAGTTAAAATCCAAAGACCCTTCCTCAAGCCTTTGGTGTCTCTCTCCCCCTGCCCCTTTGAGAGGCACCCAACCTTCCGGTTTCCTCTCGGGCGGTGCTTCCCCTTCCCTCTTCTTTCCTGCTCACCTGGTCCCTTTGCAAATAAACTTCTCTGTCTGCCACTGATTCCCAGCTTTTTATTTCTATAATAAGCTGAAGAGAGAACCCACTGGGCTTTTCTGGTAACGTTAGTGTCATCTCATTAATACTCAACCAGGAAAATAAAGCGATCTATATACAGGTTCAGTGCCCCTTATCTGAAATGTTTGGAACCAAGGGTGTTTCATATGCTGGATCTGGAATTTGAAATACTTGCATACATAATGAACTACCACGGGGATAGAACAGGTGTAAACATAACTCTCATTTGTTTCAAGCATACTTCATACACACAGCCTGAAGGTCATATTAGAGAATCTTTTTAAATTATGTCTCTGAAGTACACTTCATACATTGCTCCTGAAAGGGTTGGGAAAGAGTTTGTATTTGGGGCATAAAGGATGAGCTGTGTGTTTTACACCTGTGTCTTGTTGTGACTCATCACATGAGATCAGATGTGGAAGTTTCCACCTGTGGTATCATATCAGTGCACCCAAAATTTTTAATCTTGGAGCATTTCAGATTTTCAGATTAGGGATGTCTAACCTGTGTCTGTGAAAGCCTGCCTCTGAAAGCGCTGACTGGCTAGCCAAGCACAGATGTGACTTGGCAACCACAAGGTAGCTGGACTCTGCTTGATATAAACTTGGACCTTTCAGAGCAGAGCAACTTGCCCTTGATTTTCCAGTCTACTTTTACATCGTTCAATCTTCCCACTGACGACATGCTGTCTCATACAGAACGTAGCCTAATGTAAAACATTAAGTTAACATGATGCAGAGTGAACAAAGAAGCCACCTTCAATAATTTAACAGCTTCCATATTTAATAACCCATCTTGTTTGTATTGGAAGTCCTGGGGAACAGCTGCAGACTACTTTGAAGGCAACTTAAAAGTGCGGTGGTGACAAATGATTGCAAATCACTATATCAGGAATTAGAGTTTTGTCCCATTAATATGCAAACAGATTTTTAAAGTACTGAATAACATTAAGCTGTTGACAAGTAACGGAAATAGCATTCTCTTGTCCATGTAGGCACAGAGTGGCAGAGAACATTACAGAGAAATTTACCAACAAAGAGGCTGCGTTCAGCAAAGAAGGAAGCCCATGGTCACTGTTAAGCTCTATTGTGCCCAGGCAACATGAATGCTTTGCTTCTGCATTGAGCCAGCACATATCCATCTTACAGCACATACACAGCGTAGCATGTGTTGGAATGTCATGAGGGTTTACTGACAGTTTCAAAAATACATACATCAATGTAATTTCCGTTGATATAGTCTGAATTGGTGTCTCCTTCAATTGTCTGCAGCCTCACCCTGGAATGATCATCTGCAAGAGAAAAAAAGAGAGAACAACCATCGACAACAAAGCATCAGAAAGCATCTATGCGGAGATTCCTCATATAGGAAGGCATTCAATAACACTGTACTGATAAGCTCCTGGGAGGAATTCCTGGAATTCCACATGCAACAGTTTCTTAGGAAAGGGAAGACGAGAACCAATGCTCCATCCATTAAAAACTCCGACCTGAACTCCAACCTGTGCTCTTAGCTCTTTACTGAGACCTGCCTGGTCTGTCACGTGTGCTTTCTTCATCAAACTTCACTAGCACGCTTACTGCTAAAATAACAGCAAAAACATGGGAACAAAATGGAATGAAAAGTTTATTTTGATGCAAAAAATTGAAAGTCATACATAGATGATTAACATATCCTCTGTAGAGGTTAATTTTAAGGATAAAAAATTACTAAGCATAATGGTCTCTAGTTGGTACTATTTGGTTGCAAATGGTAGAATTTCACTCTTTTTAATGTCTAAATAATATTCCATGGAGTAAGATGTACCAGTTTGTTTATCCACTTCTGTTTTGATAGGCATCTGGGTTGTTTCCATGTCTTTGCTATTGTAGATTGTGCTGCAGTGACTATAAGATTACAGATCCCTTGCTAATATGCAGATTTTATTTCCTTTGGCTATATTTCCAGAAGTGGGATAGCTGGGTGATACATCCGGTCAATTTTCAGTTCTCTTAGCACTCTCCATGCTAACTTCCAGAGTGGAGTTGTACTATCCTGCACCAACAATGAAGAGGATACATTTCTCCCTATATCCACTCCAGCAGGTGTTGTTAGTAGAGTTCTGAATGTAGGCCAGCTTCTTTACAGTTAGGTGGAACCTCAATGTGGCTTTCATTTGTATTTCCCTGACAGCTAGGGAGCCTGAGCATTTTTTCATATATCCATTAGCAGCATGAATCCTGCAAGGACAAATGTCATATGTTCTCTCGATATGTAGCAATCTTCATGCAAAATATGAGGTCAATAGCCCCTTTAATACTGTTTTGTTACATCTCAGGTGGTTTGATATTTCTGTTTTTATTTTCATTAATTCAAAAAGCTTTTATTTTTTAAATTATTTTTCTTTCTAACTCATAGGTCACACAATAGCAATGTTTGCTTCAGGAAGGTCTTTGATTTTCTTTTTCATTTCTTCAGTGACACACTGGTCATTCAGTAGCATGCTATTTAACTGCATGTTAATTTAACTTCATGTTCATTTTTAATTTTTCTCTCTGTTATTGATTTTGTTTTATGGCTTTTTGTTTAAGGGGATGTACAGTAACTGTGCAGTAGAGGCCATCACATACGATGTGAAGATACAATGCAGTGTGCACCTCTATCTTCAAATCAAAGATGAACCTGCAGGGAAACTGTTGAATGTATCTTGATAATAGTACGCTGGGCTCTCTGCCACGGTCAATACCTACAACGTCAGGATACACTTAAATAGCAGAATGATGGACTTACGACTGACTGTGAAGGACTATACAATTGTAATGACATGAAGAAAATCTGTGTGTGGGGGGGGCAGGGATTTGGGGAAAGGGAAGGGAAATCCCAGAACATGTGGAACTACTTCATGGAATAATAAATTAAAAAAATAATTTAAAAAAGATAAAGAATTACATACCATAAACCTTCCAAACTCAGATTTTTCTGTTAGAACTGGGAAGGATTTATAATACTTCACCTCTTATGGCAAATCTCATTAACTTATGTTTCAGTGATGAGCACATAGAAAGGTTTGACAACCTTTCTTGTGAATCACAACAGAATCATGGCTTAGATTGGAAGTTGAAGCAATTTCACCAAATTACATACAGACCCTCTGAGGTGTTCAGGAGTTCCACCTGGACCAGTGTTGGGTACAAACCCAACTCTAGCCCTCTGGTATGTTCAGATTTGTACTAACTTCTGTTGTTTGATAGCCCTTGGTACCCTCCTTCTATAGGTGAGGACACTGTGGGTGTCACAATGCTGCTTTTCATCAGCCCTGGACCACATGCCAGAGAGTAACATCACCAATCCTCAGTATCCCCATCTGAAAAAGGAGACAATAGTGCCTGCCTCAAATTGGGCTTTTTCAAGGAGGAAGTAAAGACACTGAGTCCTAGTTAGAAGTCTGACATCCAGGTCATTATTGTGCCATAGCTATAGTTCCCTATTTTCTGAATCAAAAATTCTAAACAACAAATTTACTGAGGCAACTTGCTATTTCAAAAAGGAAAGTACTAAAGGCTCCATAAGGGCTGAGATTTTCCTCTTTTGATCAGTGTCTGCCCCCAACCCCTAGACGAGTGCTTGGAACATAACCAATTCCCCCAAGTACTTTTTTGAATAAATGAAAAGTGAACCCTTTCCTTTTAAACATATAACCTTTAAAAAGATTTTCCCTAAGGAGTTTTCTTTGTAGCAGAGCAACTCTTTCTTCCAATGAGTGTACACCAAAACCCAGTCTGTAGAACAGAAGGGGCTAGTTGCCCTGGAAAGGGCAGTGTGGTGGTCTCCTAGGAGAAGGCTGGCTTTCTCCAGACACCCTGCAGAACCCCTGCAGGGAGAGTTCTAAATGAGCACTGCTTTGTAAACCTCACTCAGCATTTCATTGTGGTTAGTGAGTGAGCAACGCAGACTCCAGCCAGAGGCAAGAGCCAGGAAAACCACAGATGACAGACCACTTTATCCCTGATCACCTGTGGTTTTCCTGGCTCTTGCCTCTGGCTGGAGTCTGCGTTGCTCACTCACTAACCACAATGAAAGTGTCGACTTGGACCTGCTCCTTGGCTTAACAAGCTAATGGCTGAGAGACCAGACTTCAGGATTCCTGAAGTTGAACCTCCTGTTGAATAAACATTCAGTGTGATATCAGAAGGTAGTCTGCATCGCTTTTTTTCTAATCTTTCATCCCTAGTTGGCTTTTCACCCCATCTCACAAAAAATGGTCAAAAAATTTCATGTTAGAGACACAATTAGTTGGGGGTCAATACATTTTTTCTGGAATGTGGTGACAAAAGAGGCTGGATGAGAAAGTAAAATTGAGAAGTCAAATCTTTCTGCTCTGTTCAAAGGAGCTGATGGGGACAGATGTAAGCTCTGGGCTCAGGTCTGTGAGTTGGAATGCCTGCTGGTGATTCTGGGCAAGTTATCACTTCTCTCTCTGTTTCCGTTTACTTCTCTGTACAATGTGGAAGGACTGTGCTGACATCACGGGTATATTGTGAACATTTAAATAATATGTCACAAGGGAGTAGAAAAAAGCGTGAAAGAGAATGATGGTGGGAAAGCAGTTACTACTGCCATGTGCTATGTAATAGAAAGCCAGACAGTCCTCATTACCTTTGCAGTTTCTATCCAATCACTATTGGCATGCCCAGGAAGGATCTACACAGTCAGAATGCTCCCTCATGATGTTTGATTTTAGCAGCTAGCTTTCCAAAACCTAGGTTGCCTCCAAGCAGTGGTTCACTAGGGCCTTTGCACATGTTGGGAAGCTGGAAGGAGTTGTATCACTGGTGCTCTGGGTATCTGAGGGCTGTTTGGACTGTATCGGATTGTGAGGAAAGCCATTGCAGACACAGAGCTCTTTTGCAGAGTGGAGCCTATCAGCAATTCCACTGGCAAAGCCATTTGAGCTTTCCAAGTGAAAGATGCTGCAACAGGACTGAATCACAGCATTCCATGCACATCAGGCTTTGAGTCCACACCTAAGAATGGACATTAGGTTTACTTTTCCAGGCACTTGGTCTTTCCCTGGGTGGTTTTCACGGGACAGATAACTACACTGGAACCTTCGATCTTGAGGAGCAGGCGTGTCCTGAGGACATATTGTAGCCTCTATCAGAATCCTATCTCTCGCCTGCTTTTTTTTCTCTTGGTGGCTCATGATGAACACCGCCCATTCTCTGTGATTTAGCACTGCAGGAGTCTCCAGTTGATCCTGCATGTTCTCTTTAGGGACTTTAAGCTATGATGAGACTGAATTCTCATCGCCTATAAACAGAAGCTGAGAAATAAAGTGGCCTTACTCTCTCCTCCAGCTCTGTCATTCCACCCACCCCTCCGGCAACTGCTCCCAATTTCATTGCTCTCATTCCCGTCCTGATGGAGAAATCTGTAAGACGCAAGGACAGCTCAATTCCCGAGCAGAACAATTGCTTTTATCTTGCTGTGCATGGCAGGATCGTTTCTGCCTTTCCAGTTCACCATGCCTTACAGACAAAGACCATGTGGCACACTTTCCCTGAGGCCTAGCACCCAACTCCAGGAGCTCCACTCACAGCATGGCAATAGTGGATTGGGTCAATTACACAGGAAAAAAAAATTCTCATAGTTCTGGAAGCTAGGAAGTCTAATACCAAAGTGCCAGCATATGGTGGGGGCCCTTTGTGCATCCTAACATGGCATCATAAGGCAGGAAAGTGAGTGCAGGTGTGTGAGAACAGGTGGGCAAGATCCAGAGGAGGTTCCCATAATGACTACTTCACACCTGTGATAGCAGCCTTCACCCATTTCACAAGGTCTGTATGCTCATGACTCAATCACCTCTTCTAGGTCCCAACTCCTAGCACTGTCACAGTGGTAATTAACTTTCAGTTACAAATGAGGCCAGTTTTTCTTCTCCCTCTTGCATTCACTGCCCGTGTTCCACTGTAATCCCAGGTATACTGGAAAACAGCACTTTCAAGACTGCGAGGACCTGAGTGGACTTGCACTCTTGGAGCCCTGGGGTCTCTCTGTTCAGCAGACTCTTTCCAGGATGAATAAAGACAGTGATGAAGGTGACAACAGTGACACCAGAGTTTGCTAAGAGAACAGTCACGCATTATGAACATGAACTTAGTAGAAGAATTATAAAATTCAAGTTTGTAAAATAGACTGTCTTTCAGTGACACAGTCACTACTGAGAACTGAATATATCTTAAGCCACATGTGTTGGCGGTGCCAATGGGCTAATGTCTTAGGAGGAGCCCAGTTCTGTAGGAGAGTATAAGA